TGGTAGTTTCTAACTGCTGACCTTGAGGTTAGCAACCCGATTCGTAAACACTACGCTACCAGAGAACACTCAGAAGTAGCAGAGAAGAAATCAAACAATTATTGCATTAGGCAAATCTGCTGCACAAGACCTCTTTAAAGTCTTGAAGAGCAAAGACGTCAGTTTGAGGACTAAGGTGCACCTGACAGAAGCCATGATATTTTCAATGACCTCATATGTATGTGAAAGTTGGACAATGAATAAGGAGGACTGTATAAGATATTGATGCATTTGAGTTACAGTGTTGGAGGAGAATATTGAAAGTACCACAAACTGCCAGAGGAACAAACAAATCTGTGTTGCAAGAAGGATAACCGGAATGCTCTTTGGAAGCCAGGATGGTCAGACTTGGTCTATTATGCTTTGGGCATATTATCAGGAGGAACCACCCCCTATAGAAGGAGCAGGAAAAAAGTATAGAAATAGAAGTTCCGGATAGAACTCGTTTCAGCGGTTATTATTTAGTAGACTCCGACCGTCAAGGTGTAGCACGAAATTTAAAAAGTGTCAGTTTATTCTTGGATGGCAGAGATCAAACAATGCCGATGTCAGATAGAAAGCACACCCTCTCAACATGGCGACAGATCAGTGTCATGCCGCCAATGTGGAGACCTTCCTAAAATGGCAGTCGTCTTCTAGCTCCTCTGTAGAACGACCCAGGGGAGGAGGACCTTCACAACATGGCGATAAAAGTAGTAGACGTCACTTCCGGTACGATGCCGGATATAAGGAGCAGGATTTCCACTTTCGCTCCTTTCCGGCGGTGACGACCTCTGCATGCTATCATGCCTGTGAGTCCCCTGGTCCAGGTTTCCGTAGATATCCCGCTCTTCTGTCCCCACGGTCCCCTCATGCTGATTTTGTGGCGCATAGGGTCCACAGTTACCCTCCGTACGACTTAGGACGTGGACTATGGGACTCCAGAGGCCCACTGCGTTAACCTGCGTAGGCGGGAGCAGACAGGACAAGATGGCGGCTCAGCTGCGCAGATATCAGGGGCGAACTTTGCCCGGTGTGGCAGTGGGAACTGTTTTCGATCATCCTATATTCGCTGTTAGTTTCTAAATCTTTGTATTTATGCCCACCTTAGCTTGCAAAGGATCTCCTTCATCCCTCTCCAGAAGAGGAGAAGAGGAAACACAAGAAGAAGCGTCTGGTGCAGAGTCCCAATTCCTACTTCATGGATGTGAAATGCCCAGGTAAGGAGGTACTTAGTTAGAAGTGGGGAGAGAACTGGATTGGCCCGCAACACTTGGAAAAAGTTTGAGCTTGCCTTTTCTTAGAAGCAGTTTAGCATTTAGTTAGCTTTTAAAATGCAGATAGTCCTGTCTTTTTCTAAAACAGTTGAATGAGGGAGTGATAAACTTTGTATTTTAGGGGAGCATTTGTTCAGAATGATCCGCCCATCAAACTTCCATATGCAAACTTTAGCTGTCTTTGCTGTGGGAAATGTTACTGGGGATGAGCTGCGATTCTTTACTTGAACTTGGAGGCAAGTGGGTGGATGCATTGATCCATTACTGATAGTCTCCCTCCTCCTACCCTTACCCCTGGAGGATTCTCTTTGTTTTTTGATCTTTGAATAATTATTGGTTCCACCCCTCTGTCCTTTCAGGCTCTAAGATGGTTAACACCAAATCCATAGGCTGGGTCAGGTAGCCCAGATTGCATCCTTAGAGCCAGGTAATCAATGGTTTAGGATAGTAAATTTCAAGTTTACATAATAACATGCATATTGTGAAAACATACATTTAAGTGGAGGAAGATGTGGGGATAATTATTGGGGAGAATTTGTTAAATCCTCCTCTGTTTTTTTACAGGATGCTATAAAATCACCACGGTATTTAGCCATGCACAAACAGTAGTTTTGTGTGTTGGCTGTTCCACTGTTCTCTGTCAGCCTACAGGAGGAAAAGCAAGGCTTACAGAAGGTAATGTGATTTGATGTTAAAATGTTGAACTTTGAATTTCCTATCTAAGGAGACCATGTATAATGTATGCTCTGCAATTGTCTTATAAAGATAGTTGGATTGTTCTTTTTTTCTCCTACTCAGTAAAAACCCATGTATTAATTTAAATAGTATTACTGGCTAAAGCTGAGCAGGATGGGGTGAGAAAAGGCACTTCATATGAGTGTCCTTAAATGTCTTGTTAGCTGAAGGAGTTGAGACATAAAAGAGAGGTAGCTTTCCTGTGTGTATTCTATTAGAATGAAATCTGCTTGGATTGTTGGGTAAACAGGGTGGGTAGGTTGATGTTACTTAATTTCTGAACCTTTTCTCTACCAGGATGCTCCTTCAGACGGAAGCAGCACTAAAAGCACCCTGAATCAAGATGAGTGGGAAACAATCCCAATAAACATTTTGGATACATCCTGTTTGTTGTCTTTTTTTTACTGCAAGTATTCAGGGCAACCAGAAGAGTGATGAAATACTATAGTAATCTGGAGCAAGTAAGTGGCCAGGTACTTAAAGGTTGTTTTGGTATTTTTTAAACCTACCTGGCTGGATTCATTGGGTAACACTAACCATTGATCTTTAAAACAATCGAGTGCATTACTTGAAAAAGTGCTTAAAATCTTTTATTTACTGTCCTCAGAAGCTTGGTGTAGTAGGCTGGAGTGTAGAGGTTTCTGGGTTTACTGTCTCTGGCTAGAGCACCATTCTGCTATATTTAAGGTGACTATCCAGTGATAGATTAGTGTCTTATACTCCATAACCAATGTTGTAGCCGACTCTGGCCTGCTGGGTGTTGTGTCCTCAAGAAGGGAGGAGGAGAACGTGTAGAGCTATAAAAACCTAGAAATAAATGGAGAAAGGGAGGTGATGAAAGCTCTGGTGAATAAAACATTTATGAGCTTTTCAAAAACAAGGACAGCAGTTCTTTACCTGACTCTGAAGAAGTTCCTAGGGTTGGTATATACACAACTGGAACTGTCTGTATCTTGTTGAGAAAGGCATTATATGCTGGAAAAAGGAAAAGGGGAAAGAAATGTCACCAAAAAAGGCATTGTCTGATTTTGGTTGGGGGTGGGGGGAGGAAGAAGGTCTCACTGGGCAAAGTCAACTGTAAAATGCTTTCAGAAAGGAGAGGTGAGAAGAGACTTGGGTTTTAATTCTTGTGAGAATAATAGCAGGATTTCAGTAGCTTGTATAATTGGAAGTATTTCATCTTTGGTTGAAAAATAAATGCAAGTCTGGACAATATTGACATTACTTGAATCATCTCTGAGGTTTCATAGTTGGTCACAGTTTATTTCTCCTTGGTGATAGCAGTAAAGTTTTGGAAGCTTAAAGTTTCAGCTACTTGGAAATTAGAGTAAAGAGGTAATTTTTGTCTGCATTGAGTTTGAAATAAAATTGAGGCAGTTTCATCTTACCCAGAAAGATGAAAGCTGTTGATGCTAACACTGCAAAGAGGGTAAAGAAGAGGATCTGGTAAGAACCAGTAAGCTGCTGGATGACACTGGAATCTTCGCACTGATCTATACATTGATTAGAATAAACAATAAACAGGATGGTGGTTACTTAATATACCCGTTAGATACTGCATTTAAGAGTAAATAGTAGAAAGTGACCTATTGGTGTTGAACTAAGTAATAAATTTCTTGACCTGATTCCTTAATTCCTCTGCCACCTTGAAAATAACATGTTTCTGTGCACTCTGACTCTAAGTGACATGTTTTCCTTCATCAAGCTTAGGACAGTACATAAGCACTGGACTCTTTCCACTCAAGATATTACTGGTACCTCAAAAGGCTTGGGCTTGACTTCTTTTGCACTTTAACCAGTTGCATCTTGTTTCATTGTAATGATTACAAGCCCCTCTCTTTTGATATACACAAGAATACGCAGGAATATGTAATCATTTAAACAACCAAAGGACACATTTTGCAAACCAGCCCCCTGGTTTGTCAGCACACTGCCTTTCTTTCCATGAGTCTAGAGTCATGCTCTTGTCTCTCCATGTCATCTCTGCCTCCATCTGGTGCTGCTGCTTTGGTTAGGATCCCAAGTTCTGCTCATGCTCTTCACTCTGGTTCTGGAATAAATTTAACTACCTCTTTTTGTTACATACCTACCTTTGCAATTGTGACAAGATAACAATTACTATTAAAAGAATTAATCCCATCTCCTTTCACCTGACACATCTACACAAGATGGAAATTATTCCGTGGGGCTTCTACCTTCCCCCAACTTGCTCTAAAACAACTCCCTCCGGTAAGGTTTGTAAGCCACTTCCTGTCTTGATAGTCCTCTCCCTCCTCTTAGGTAGTTAATGTCTGAGTTGCTAGTCCCTAACCCGAAGTCCTAGTGTGGTGCTGTGGGCTAATACTTCAGACTGCAAGTCGTTTTAACTGCAAGATTGGTGGTTCAAGCTGCCCCTTGGAAACCTTATACAGGGTCGCTATGGGTCAGAATCAACTTGACAGGACCCTGAATGGAGTCCTGGCATGGTGCTTTGGGTTAATGTATCATACTGCAAAGCCCTGTGAACTGCGAAGTTGGCAGTTCAAGTTCACCAGCTGCTCCTCTGAAACACTAGGGTTGCTGTATGAGTTGGAATCAACTTGAAGGCACTTAACAGCAGCCTTATGTACTGAGGGCATATGGGATATACTTGAGACTTTATTTGAAGATTTCCGTCGTGGTTGGTATTTTGTGCTACTACATCTATAAGATAAGGTCAAGTTCATCAAATTGTCGCCGTTGACACTTGCTTCCTATATCAAATATGTTTTCCTGTGATTGAGTTTTGATCATCAAGCCATCCAAGCTAGGTCAAATGGGTACTACATGCAAATTTGGGTGTTCTGCACACCTTCTCCCACTTTATATCATCTGGACAACTTACTCTCAGCTCTAGTGGGCTTGACTTCTAAAGGTTGGTACTCAAACCCACCCAGCAGTGCTGCAGAAGAAAGGGCTGGTGATCTGCCTCCATATACTCAAAACAAATGACAAAATCAAAGCGTTTAGTAGTTTTTAGGGGTTTCTGGTTTGTTTCTAACTTATCTTTAATACAATGTTCTTTTGAATCTCCTGTGTATAAGGTAGTCTTCACACCTGGTTCCTGTTTAGCCTAGCCTCTCTAGTATAGGCACTCTACCTCTGAAATCAAGCTTTTCTCACTGTAATCGTGCTCATTTTTAGCATTTTGCAAATTGATTCACTCTGAAAAAAGACATTGCTTGCAGTGTGTACTAAATGCTTTACACCAATTCTGATTAGGTCTCACTTGGCTTTCCGATGCCTTACAGATAAAAAAGAGTCCAAATAAAATTAAAAGGCATTTTAACTTTTGTCAGCATTATCCCCTCTTTCTATAGGGAACCTATCCCTGCTTCTAATTCTAAGCTATTTTAAAGTGAGCTCCCTATTTTGTCTTCCTGGCCTATAATAGCATTCACATGGCTTGTATGGAACTGGAAGTTTGTTAGAAACACTTCTCACTCCCCTTTAATTCCTCAAAAGTGGTTTTGTGTATGTGTGCATTGTATGTGGACAACTTTAGCATTCTGGTGAAGTCTACAGTTCCCATCTCAATAAAAGCTAAATACATGGAGGTGGTGGTGTACTGTGGAGTCCGTTCTGACTCATAGCACCCTGCATAGAGTTTCCTAGGCTGCAAATCTTTACATAAGCAGAAAGCCTCATCTTTCTACCATGGAGCAGCTGGTGGTCTTGAACTGCTACCAGAGCTCCTTATTAAATGTTGTTAGGTGCCATTGAGTTGGTACCAACTCATAGCAATCCTATGCACAACAGAATGAAACAATGCCTGGTCCTAGGCTAACCTCAGAATTGTTGCCATGCTTGAGCCCATTGATACTGCCACTTTGCCAATCCATCTCATTGGAGGTCTTCCTCTGACACTCCACCTTACCAAACCTGATATTACTCTAGCGACTGGTCCTCCTGACAATACGTCTGAAATATGAAAGACGAAGTTTGGCCATCCTGGCCTCCAAGGATCACACTGGCTGTACTTTTTCCAACATAGATCTGATTGTTCTTTTGGCAACCCATGGCACTTTCAATGTTCTCCAACGCCATAACTCAAATGCATTAATTCTTCTACGATCTTACAAAATATACATACTAAATTGCAGTTTACAGAAATATTAAACCTGATTTGTGACAAGTGATGTTATCAAAAAATGAAGCTTGATATAGTAAGTAAGTAATAACAAGCTATAGCAGCAAGTCTGATAACTATTGTCGGAGAAGGAGAGGAAGACTCCCAATGAGATGGATTGGCTTGGGCTTTGCAATGATTGTGAGGCTAGTGCAGGATTGGGCAATGTTGTGCATAGAGTTGCTATGAGTTGGTGCCAACTCGATGGCACCTAACAACAGTAACATGATTTTCGGTTGGCAATTTTTTTTTCTTTTCATAATTTTATATGTCATTCCATTGTGTGTCCCCACCCCCGCATTGTTTCTACTGAAAAATCAGAGTTTAGTCTTACTAGTTCTGCTTTGTTGGTAACTTTTCATTTTTCCTGAGCTGTTATCAGGATTTTTTCCCTGTCTGGTTTTGAAGAGTTTGATTATTCTTCCAATAGCTATTCTACAATTTTCTCTAGTTTTTTTTTTGGTCATCCTGTTCTGCAATGTCACTCATAAATAGTATTTCTCTTGATAGTGTTCCACATATGTCTTAAATCTTAGGCTTTATTGAGATTCTCCCCCACACACCCCATTGCTCCTCTTAGTTGGTTGGTAAGTGCCATTGAATCAGTTCTGATTCATAGTGATCCTGTATAGGGTTTCTAAGGACTGGCTGGTGTTTGAACCCCCAATGTTGTGGTTAGAAATTCAATGCTTATCCTACAGTACCACATCAGTGTGCCAGATTGTTTCTCTAGGAGATGAATATTGAGAGATTTGTCTTTAAGATCACTAATTGGATCTTCCATTGATTTTATTGTGCTTCTTTGCCCTTTGAATGTATTATTATCTATTTCTGAAGTCTTAGTATTAATCTGGCTTTCTATTTGCTGTTTTTGTATGGCTTCCAATTTTTCATTTATTTTGTCAGTTTTTGTAGCTTTTCCTGAGTTCTTCTAAAGTTTTGTCTGTGTTTTCCTTGATTTAATTTGCATTTTATCCATCATTCTCTCAATCAATAGACTGTTACCTAAGTATTCTATTAAATTCCTTATCAGGTAGTTTGATACCATTTCAGGTATTTTGGTCAATTGTGTGAGGCACTCTCTCATTTCTTGATATAAGCTGAAACTGTGTTTTCTCTGAGACACTGTGGTGTCATTGTATTTATATTTAATTTATGACTGTATGATGGTATGTTCTCAAGACACTCACCACCTATCTCCTGGTGGATATATAGAGACTGTAAGTATGTAAACAGTTC